TCTTGATCGTCCAGGGGCCCCACTGGCTGTTTAACAGGCTTCCTGCTTCTGATGTACTTTAAAAACATTTTGTTATTGCCTTTTGATTTTTTGGCTAGCTGTTCTTCTAACTCCTTTTTGGCTTTTCTTATTATATTTTTATACTTAATATGGCAGTGTTTATGCTCTTTTCTATTTTCCTCACTAGGATTTGACTTCTGCTTTTTAAAAGATGCCTTTTTATCTCTCATTGCTTCTTTTACATGGTTTTTAAGCTATGGTGGCTCTTTTTAAGTTCTTTTACTGTGTTTTTTAATTTGGGGTATACATTTAAGTTGGGCCTCTATTATGGTGCCTTTGAAAAGTGTCCAGGCTGCTTGCAGGTATTTTACTTTAGTCACTGTACCTTTTAATTTATTTTTAACTAACCTCATTTTTGCATAGTTTCCCTTTCTGAAATTAAATGCCTCAGTGTTGGGCTGCTGAGGTGTTCTTCCCACCACAGGAATGTTAAATGTTATTATATTATGGTTACTATTTCCCTGCGTTCCTGTTATAGTTACCTCTTGGACCAGATCCTGCGCTCCACTCAGGACTAAATCGAGAATTGCCTCTCCCCTTGTGGGTCCCTGTACCAGCTGCTCCAAGAAGCAGTCATTTAAGGTTTTGAGAAATTTTGTCTCTGCATTTCATCCTGAGGTGACATGTACCCACTCAATATGGGGATAATTGAAATCCTCCACTATTATTTAGTTTTTTACTTTGATAGACTCTCTAATCTCCATTAGCATTTCCTAGTCACTATTACTGTCCTGGTCAGGTGGTCGATAATAGATCCTTACTGTTATATACTGACCTGAGAGGATTTTCACTTTCCACTGAAGCATGTGAGCAGGGCCATCCTGGGGGAGGGACAAGGCCTCAGGCAACCCCTCTCCCACAGGTCCTGCCCCTTCCTAAGCTCTGCCCTTGCTACACCCCTTCCTTCCTCTGAGCAATATGGCCTAAGGGATTATGGGTGCCTGGTGCTTTCCCCCACCCCCCATTTTTCCCTGGGTCCCTCCCATGCATAGGATGGCTGAGGCAGTTGCCTCAGGGCTCCCAAAAGTGCAGGGCCTGGGTCGGCCACCCTGCAGTAAATATCCTGTGAGACTGCTCTGCATGTGGGTGTAGGTCATTTGCCAGGATTATCCAGGTATATCTTCCTTAATCATTTCCCTGCTTTGAACATTTGGTCCATCTCAGATTTTCTCAGTCTCTGCCTGTCACATATAATACACTAGTGTCCCATGGGTTGTAATATTTTGCTCTCTTTTTTTTGTTATTTGGTGATACACAAGAGACACTAAATGATCTAGTGGCCCCCTTCTGACTTTAAACTCTGTGGCATACACCACACCCCAAAAGGCACAGTAGAGTGAGCCACATCACTTATATTGGTGAAGGCTCACTGATTGAAGCTGATGGTCTGATTTATATGTCACAGACTTGAAAATCAAGCTCTTGTTAAGGTCATCCTCTTTAAATAGGCACTCTGCTTGCAACTAGGCCCCCTTGCTGTGATCTTATCACACTAGGGGAAACAAAGTTGAGCTTGGACAGTGAATGAATGAAAGGGTGCTATTAAAAAACCTCACTGACACAGGCAACTTGGTAGGTGGCACTCTTCCTCTTGAGTCACTACTATCGAGCCAACACCCCAGCAAGAGGTAGTGGGGGATGATATATTGTGGGAGTGCTACATTTCAGATGAGATTTATCACTCGATCATTTATGGTCATTAAATAGCCCCTGTCACTTTTCATAAATGTGGAGGTGTTAACCTCAGTGTCCTGGCTAAATTCCAATTCACAGAATTACATATTCTACTATCCTAAAATAAATCCTCTCTGGTTTCAAATGGTGAAGTTCTTTTTCACTTCCCCTCCTTTGACTGTGTAGTGTGGATAGCACAGAATGGCCCCTGACTTCTACCGCACATAGGTCACCAATTCAAAGATGAAGGGGGTGATCATTCAAAATAAAATTTATTTTTGTGCAGAGAGCCAGCACAACTTCTTTGCACTAGTTAATTTTCATTCATTCCTTAAATAGGGGTTAGGCAAAAATATGAATGGCTACAGTAGTCCAGAAACAGTGGTGTGTCTAGATCATCATCCTGTCTTCTAAAAATGGCCAATGCCAGATGCTACAAAGGGAACAAACAATACAGGGAAATCATCAAGTGATCTTCCCTTGTTGTCTAATCTCAGCTGCTGGCAGTCAGAGGCTTCAGTGGAAGTAAGTGATGCATAGACCTTGAACTTGTCCTCTGCATTGGGGTGATTTGCACCCAATACATGATATAGGGGACTAAATTCTACCTTAAGTTACATTGTAGCTAGTGGAGTTGTGCTGTGTAACAGAAGGTAGAATTTGGTTCATAGTCTGTAAAGTTGCTCTGATATTCTTTAGGATAAATGATGCCTGAGAAATGCAAGTAATGACAAAAAAAATCAAACATTTCTCAGTCACTCAGGTGCTGATAGAAGTCACACACATGTAGCGAGAGGAAGAATGAGCACCTGATGGGAGAGCTTTCCTAAAAAGCCTTGTGCTGACCTGAACAGTATAAGGGAACTGGAGATACAAGAGGAAGGAGGAATAGGATCAGAGATGCAAGGCCGGTTTGAAGTTCAGGTGCTGAAAAATGCCAGTCTGGAGTTCAAAGAGAGGATTATTGACCAGTGGTGCTTTAGTAGAAGGAGTTTAAGGCCACGGTATTACTGATTTATCAACCCAGCCGACACTGTGTGTATGGTATTTGAGTCGCTCCTAAATCCAGCCTCTGGCACTGAAAAACACATTTAATCCATCTGTTAGATTGTTTGAAGAGGTGTTTGTGTCTCCATGTCTGCCCAAGGTTGGAATTAAAAATAAGCGACAGAGAAACCTTTAACCATTTCCCCAATGCTGTTCCTTTGAGGGGAGGTCATGTACCATTTCCCCAATGCTGTTCCTTTGAGCATTCACTCAAATTCACTCAAATATCACATGGAACTGTCTGGATGTTGACAAATGAAATGATCGTGTTCATTTCATTTATCAATATCCAGACAGATCCATGTAATAGAAAATATCCCCTAGAAAGCATCACTGAAATCTCTAATTCCACTAAGAGGCACAAATCAAAGCAAGGCTTTGTATTCAGAGAGGTGGTTGTTTTTAATTGATTGTCTCAAACTGAGTTTATTGCTCTGCACATAGGAGTTTGAGAATGTATTCACCCAGCCACCTGTGATCTTTACAGAGCAGCCCAGTGCTTCAAGGTAAAACACTGAGAAACATGCCTGACTAAAACAACTTTGCTTTGGCTGCTGGCATTTTCTATAGTTCTCTCCCCACCAGTTTACGTAATCATTAATAAGAAATGTTTACCTGAAAACAGAATCTTTGTTTTTATAGTTCATGAAACTGTTAACCTACTCCCCCCTCGATTTGAAATCCTAATCCTCTCTTTGTGACATAACAATCATAATTATTGCATGCACTAATGTGACACCACAAGCTGAAGATAAGAAACACCAGTGGCTAAAATAGTACAGAATGCTGTAGGGCAAGGCTGAGTTACATCAGCAGAGCTACGCTAGAGACCTCAGAATAGCAGGAGACAATTGTGGCTCAACCTTGAGGTGCAATGACAAATTCGTGTGAGGACCTAGGACTGGGATACCAGAAGGTGTCATAGGTCAGAATTAGGGTGTATCAATAAATCAGGGAAGAGAGCTGGAAGGAGAGAGAAGGAAATGAACAGGACTGGAATGGCACAAGAGGGTGCAAACTGCGATTGAGGTTTATTCGCAGACCATTAAAATGGTGCAGTTCACTAATGCATTTTGCATTGGCAAAACTCTGAAGGGCAAGGTTAATACTGGAGGTCGGGTTTGAACCATGTTTGTATAGCTGTGGGGGGGTTCCCAGGCCTTACATAACACAGATATCTGTAAGACGGGGTCCCGTTGAACTTGCAGAGGTGTGTGTGGATAGTCACGCACCTTGCCTCTAGTCTGCTGGCTTCCTGTTCAGGCACATGAATTCAAATTCACTTCAAATAAGCAGCAAAAAAGAAAGTGCTGAAAGAAAGAAACCCTGGAGAAAGCATGTGAAGGTCCTTTTATATTTGGGAATGAGCAAAAACAATTCTCAGAATCAATCTCTAGTGGCCCATCAATTCTAAACATGACATTTTTCTTGGGTAATTCTGGGTCTTGTTCGGTGATAACACTTGCTGGTCTTTCTCTGTTCTGCTATGAAAGGCAGCTCAGTAAGTTTGAGCTAGTTTCTCTAGATAGGCTGTTGCTGAGGTTTCTTTCTTTGGTCCTCTGGATAATAGCTTTACAGGTAAGGCAAGTTGGAGAGTTTTTCCTGCTTGTACAGACTGGATGCCTTGGTGGAGTAAAGATGGGCTAAGGGGTCTTCAACTTCCACGTTTGTGATTGCAGCCCATTTTAGATGTGCTGATAGTTATTCACAAATGAGAGCTGTTTGGTGGCCTTTGTGAATGCATTTCCAGGAACATCTCCCACTGGTTCTTGGCAGAATATGTACCTACATCACCAAAAAAACCAATGTCATTAATCGACATTGTAATTAATGTAATGTAATGACAATGTAATTAATTTACATTAATTGAGTCACTTCCTGGTCAGGCATTGGCAGACTCAGTGGATAGGTTGGAGATTCAGTGAGCCGCAGGAACTGAGAGGGTTTTGACCCTAAAAATGGTCCTTCCAGGGCACTTCTCGGTTACGTTAGCAAGAAGTGTCAAGTAAGTGAAGCTTGCACCAACACTTCCCGTGCAGTACAAAGGAAGACTTTGGATTGCAGGGTTGTCCATATGGTACCTTCCACCACCACTAAACAAATGTAAACACTAGTGAACAGTTCACAGAGTCCTGAGCGAGAGGAGATAACTCCTTCTATGAGCTAGTATCAGAGGTCTCAGCTCCTTCCAGACATTGACATACTTGTATTTCTTCCAGCTTTGCTCGGTCACCAAGGCATAGCATGGAAGCCACTGCCAAATTTGATTTCAATGCCTCTGGAGAGGATGAACTGAGTTTCCGTACTGGGGACGTTCTGAAGGTAAGTGCAGCATGAGACCTCAGCAAAGGAAAACCGTTTAACCATGTAAGCCCCACCAGATTCCACTGTGCCAGTGCCTCCATTCATAATATAGGCCAGCCCAGATGTCCAGATTGTGGTCCAGATGCCACTAGTGTTCCATAGAGGACTTGCTGCAGGTCCATGGAGTGATCGCTAGTTACATAGTGCTTGCCATCCTTCTTATTTCCAGCTGTTAGAGTGCCATGAAAGATGGCTAAAATAGATTAAGTAACTTTTCTGATATTACTTTTTCCTGTAAGGAATGACTGTAGTTGCCATAGGGATATTATATATTGTAAATGGGAGGGGAAGTATCCACAAGGTAATGTCTGTATGAAAAAGTATAAAAAACTTTAAGAACCCTGGAGCTAGTCTATTATACAACACCCCCTTCGAAAATGAAGGAGCAGAGGAATGCTAGCGCAGGAGTGGGAAGAAGTGGAGGGTACATATCAGACATACAGAGCGTGAAACACAGCCTATTCAGTCTTTGTATTTGTTATGGTGGAACTGTTTGTGTTATCAGCAATGAGGGTGAACCCACACAACCCCACATAATGTTTTACCCACTCTTCAATCTATGACACCTTGCATCATAGTCACTCTGCTAGAGGTGAAGATGCCTGAACACGACTCACATTGGCACTCGCCAACTATTCTCCTTAACTGGCCAAAAGGAGCATTGTTGAGTAGGGAGATGTAACCACTCAGTTCTGCCCATGCACCTTTGTATTGTCCTGCAGCCCCCCTTGCTATGCCAGTCAATTTCAATCTATGAATTCTGATCTCCCCTCTCAGCTTTCCTTAGGTTCAGATTCCCATTTTCACTTTATTCTCCCGGTCATCCGTGGCAGAACACAGCGCCACAGGGTTCAGGCAGTGCAGGGAATCCCACAATGGAGTCGGGAGCCCTGTAGCAGGGGGGTCCACCAGCGCAGGGAGCTCTGGTGGCGCAGCCAGGAGTGCAGCAGGGGCTTAGGCAACACAGGGTGCTTTGCGGCGCAGCTAGGAGCCCTGTGTCAGGGGACTCAGGTGTTGCAGCTGGAAAGTCACAGGGCTGAGGGGTCCAGCCAGGACTGGCATCACAGCTGGCTGAAGGCAGTGGGGACCAGTAATGCCAGAAGCAGAGTTGGCAGGTAACAGGGGACTTCCCCTGGTCTGGCAAATTCCCTTGTTTGGGACTGTCCAGATCCCAAAGGTGCCAGACCATGGAGGTCCAACCTGTAGAAAGGCAGAGATTGCCCTCTCATTGTACCCCTCTCTCTTTGAGCTGACGCAATTCCTGAGCAACCAAGAGTGAAAGATATGCTAAATCAAAGTGTGTAAGAGTGTATGTACACCCCCAACCCCCACCCCCAGCTGTCCTCCCTACTCTGCCTGTGCAACCTGCTGGGGTTTATCTATCTGATTGGCAAAGGAGATAAGGTAAACAGTATTGATGTGGAGATTAAATGAACAGGAAGCGCGAGGCCCTGAACCAGCAAACGACAGGAGGAAATCCACCACCCCACCACCCTTTTTCTGAGAGACCGACACAGGGGGGCCTACCCTCTGCATACCAAAAGCTTGCAGGTGGATTGCACCGGAAACCTAGCTACCAGCACAGCAGTCTCCAGACAGGAGGAGAGAAGGGTTGCTGATATGCAGAGAAAAAGCGCTGCATCCCATTTGGTTTGCTTGGAGCAGAACAAAGGGACTTTAAATTGGGAATCAACTGGCAATAAACCAGGGGATCCTCAACTACCCATTCAGAAATCCTTAGCTGCCTGTTGCCTTCCTTTGCACAGGTGGAAGGGTAACACCAGAGGCAAGGCAGTGGAGAATCAGTCCCAGAGGTCTCAATACTGTCAACCCTAAATGTTACAAAATATGGCTTTACATTTTTTAAATTATATATTTTTAAAACTTTGTTTTGCCTTCTGTTTCCTGAGCCTCTCTGGGTCATGTGTCGAGCTTTTCTCTTCAAAAGGTAGAGCTAGGAACTTCCTTTTTTATTGAGAGAGAGAGAGAGAGAGAGAGAGAGAAGCTGAGATACTCATGTGTGCATTTGCCTCCTAGAGCTGAAATTTGAAGAAAAACACCAAATACCACAAAGCTTGCAATAAAATCATAGCCGCATCTGGCAACACTACTAGCTATACGCCACTTGTTCCCTTGCCTCCATCTTCCAGCCATGTCAGGGGCACAGTGGTGTGGAGGCAGAGCATGATACAGTCAGTAGAATGTCCCTATGGACCATCCCAGCCGGTGATAGTAGGCATAACCCTGAGGATGTGCCTATTTGCATTAGAAGCTGGCCCTCTGGCATCCACAGAATCTGGGGAAAGCAGAAAACTGGCTTTGAGCCATATTTGCCTCCTCCCTTTAACTGTCCTGGTGTGAGCTCTGCACAGCTGAAGAGTCGCAACCTAATCCTAACACATGCAATGATGCCCAGTAACACATTCAAACACTTACACCCCCTCCTCCATTGCTATATAGTTTCAGAGCTTTTTCATCTCTTGTCAGATTAGAACACCCCAGAGCAAACAATTAAAAACAACACAAAGAACTTTTTAAAACCCCACTAAGTCCTTCACAGCAAATTCCTTCATCACATAAGCATGAGAGCTGTGCAGTGTGCATCTCCCAGCCGCCTCGATATTTATTCAGGAATACAGATAAACTAACAAGCAGTCCCTCTAATTCCTCCATGTCATCCTCATTGGAGTATTTGCTCTGAACTGGGGGGGGAGGGAAATCGGGCAGGGGTTGTTATGGGATTCCAGGACTCAGTATGAGAGAACCCAATTTGGTCTGCTTTTATCCTGCAAAAAAATTCCATTCTCTCTCTCTTTTACCAGTAACTTCTCCTTCTGATTACTTTTCTCAAGGAGGTTCAATCATTCATTCTGTCTCTCTGCTGCAGATTTTAAGCTCCCAGGAAGAGTGGTACAGAGCCGAGCTGAGAAGTCACGAGGGGTATGTCCCCAAGAACTTCATAAATATTCACATTCCCATGTAAGTACAACAGGGATTGTGTGCAATTCCTCTGAAAATTTCAGAGAATTTTTCCATGGGTGTGTATGTGCAATTATGGCAGCATGTATACCCAGTTAGCATAGGGATAAATAGGAGTACAACAGAGGCAGGCTGTGGTGAGGTGAGGTGAGTGCCATACATACTTGAACCTCCAAGATGTATACATGACATGGATTCTCTACACAGGTTGCTATATTTCAAGTTCCCAAAAAGAAAATTTCAGAGAATTTTTCCATGGGTGTGTATGTGCAATTATGGCAGCATGTATACCCAGTTAGCATAGGGATAAATAGGAGTACAACAGAGGCAGGCTGTGGTGAGGTGAGGTGAGTGCCATACATACTTGAACCTCCAAGATGTATACATGACATGGATTCTCTACACAGGTTGCTATATTTCAAGTTCCCAAAAAGAGGAC